AAAAAAAAAAAAAAAAAAAAAAAAAATATGATATACCAGGAGCTGAGCAAGATCCCCAGGAACAGAGGAACACAGAGGAAAGCCGTTAGGATCCTGCTGTCGAGTCTCAGAGCGGGGATGCGGGGGAGCAGCCTGCACAGGCAGCCAGGTGACTGCAGTGTGTCCCCTGTAGCTGTTGGGTGTTCTGGAACCACGAGGCAGGTCACTGAACCCAGGTGTGCAGGCCGGGCAAAGTATGCTAGATGATGTAATATTTGGGCTGATATGTGACGAAGGATTAAGTCTGTAGCGCAGCGCAGTGGAGCCCCAACTCAGATTTGCTTTTCCTCCAGGAGCTGCACATCAGGCCAGCATTTCACATCCGAGCTGAGCTGCGCTAGGATGGCCAGAGTTCTGTGGGTCTCTCTCTTTTACACACACACACTCCCCACTTTTGGATTGTTCTTTCAAAAATTTTTTCTATTGTTTACAAACATTCTTGGAAGAGCTAGAACACTCATTTCTACCTATCTAGAAAATTCCAACTTGTGTGAATTCAGCTAAAACCAATAGAGGATTTATTTTCTGTTTTCTGGGTTGTTTCCATTTTAAGTGGCAGATGAATTATCAGCGACAGGCTTCAGAGCCTGGTGTGTTCATCAGGCTTTCAGCCTTTAATTAGGACGTCTGTTGGGAAGTCCGTAAACTAATGGAGACTGTTGTGACTGCATTATTTTCAAAGATCTTTTAAGCCTTTGGAAACCCAAGGTTTCCTATTCAAGAGATGAATTTTAAACAAAGGGAGGTTTATACATAAAACATGAATGAGGGTTTGGAACGTTTATATTAAGGTTGAAAAGAATCAATTTGAATAATAGTTAGCACAAATCTGCTGTGAACAGAGGCAGCAAAATATGGCCCAACAAGAAAAGAGAATTGTGTTTAACTCCCTTTGAAATTTCATCTGTTTACTTCAGCATTTTTTAAATTATCTGACTCTGACTTGGTTCTTTATTATATTTCCAAGATTGTATTTACTCCTGCAGGTAAGGACTGTGATCTGTTGTGGAATGTTGAAACAAAAAGAAAATACTTTGGTTCCACACTTGTTTCCCTGAAATTATTATTTTTCTAAAACTGGCATAGGTTTTCTTTAATTTAAAAAGTTATAGTAGAAAAAGAAATAAAAATTATTCAGGATACCCTCAACCAGATTTCATTAATATCTGCCAAACATCATTCTAGAATGTAGGTATTTCTGTAGTAAGAGAATGAGAGGAATTAAAAGAATATAAAATAAAATGTATGTCATACAAAATATGTTATCTTTAGATAAGTGGCATAAAAATGAATTTTATTGAATTTATTAATAAGAATAAAACTGAAATGAAACTAAATTAGTGAACTTGATATTTTCTCAAAATACAAAATCAAAAGATTTTTCTAAAGGTAAGAAAAAAAGATGAACAAAAGCATTCAGAGTATAGTCACTTTAGTATATATCATATATTTTAACTTTTTTTTTTTTTTT